CCAGGCGGTGCGGGGAAGGGGATCTCAGCCCGTTTCTCTCTGCCGGGCGGGTGGTCACAGGGCGGGGAGCGCACCCCGGGTGTCTCTGTGGGCCGGGGCAGGTGACGTCTCCCTGCGCTCTGGTGAGGTGTCGTGGGGTCTGGGGCAGGGAGGGCTGGCAGTGGGCTCGGTCCCATTCAGGCCTGGCTCCCTCGTCTCTGGCCGTGTGTATTTTGAGCTCCTCGCTGAGTCAGGGTTTCCTGGCAGCAGAGGCTCCGCAGTGGCTGAGAGGGGCAGCGGGGAGGGAGGGAACAGGCAGAGACGGGGCTTTGGAAGGGGGCGGGCGCAGGAGCTGGGACGCTGGCGGCAACGGGAAGGGGCTCTGCACACGCCGGGCCCGGTGATGCTTGACTCCCGTGGCTGTTTCAGGGAATCTTTATCTCGCGGATCGCAGAGGGGGGTGCGGCCCATCGGGACGGGACCCTGCGCGTTGGAGACCGGGTCATCTCGGTGAGTGTGTGGGCCCCGAGGCAGCGGTGGGGGAGGCGTTTCTCCGGGAGCCTGCCGTCCAGCGGAGCAAGGAAAGCAGATCCCACTGCTCCTCCGCGGCCCCCGCTCCAGGGCTCTGTCTCCTTGTTTCGTGACCTCTGGGCTCCTAGGCCCTGCTCACGCTGTCCCAGCCTGTCCCCAGCCGGGGCCGGCTCTCGGCATGGCTTCCCAGCAAGCGGTGGCACCGCAGCGCCTTGCTGAGCCCCTCCAGCCGCACGGGGGAGTTGTGGCTCCAGCGCTGGGTAGGTGGGTGCGGCTCCCCCGTTGGGCTCCCCAGGGACCAGGGACTCAGTTCTTCCCCCGGAAAGCCAGGTGCGCAGTGTAGGCTGGAGCGGGAGGGGAGGGGACGTTTTCCCGGGGCTTTGGCCCCCGGTTCCTGCTGCTGCTTGTGCCAGGGACACGGATCCCACCTCTGCTCTGACCTCGTGCCTCTGCTAATCTGAGCCACCCCTTTCCCACGCTCGCATGCTGCCTTGAGTGAATGGAAGCTCCTGCCTCCCGGTGCTGGTGGTTGGTGTCTTGCTGGCGCGGGTAAGCACTGATACGGCCTTGTCAGTGCTGGCTTCTGTCTGCTCTATCCCTGGGCCTGGGGCTGCACTGTTCTCCCTCTCTCCCGACACCTCAGCGGCTCTGGGCTGGGCCTGGCACCCTCTTTCCTCGCGTAGGGCTGGGGCGGCCCAGAGCCTCCCCCTCCCTCTTCTGCCAGAACTGAGCTGGAGCCGCCTGGCGGGCTGTCTGCATACTGCAGGGAAGGGTTGTGTAGCTGGACCCCCCGAGCTGCGGGCCAAAGTGCAATGTGCCTCCGCAGGGCGGGGAGATGAGGCTACGTCGGCCCTCCCGTGTGGGAGGCTGCTCCCTAGAACATTCTGCGCCTGGAGCAGGGCGTGCAGGGGAAGGGTGCTTGGCTTCAGTGCACACACAGGCCTTACTGCCATCAGTCGGCTCAGGCTTTTGGTCAGGGCGTGTAAGCCCCGTGGTCACTCAGATGGCTTCCCACGGGTACATTCGCTCCCTTAGCTGGTTGGCGAGTTGTCCAGCTGGCACGGAAGCACTAGCACAGTCAGGCCAGGCTCCGATTTCAGACAGTGGCTTGTTTCTGCTGCCCTGAAATGGAAGTGCCATGTTTGTATTCCGATGGGCTGACGGTGGGAACAGGAGCAAGCGCGCCACCGTGGGCACTAGTGTGCCGTGACGCTTGTGTGTCTTCATGGCTGACACTTCGCACGGCAAGGCAGGCTCTGGGAGGAGCGAGAGCCCCTGGTCTCGGTGACACCAGAAGTGCTTGGCTAGGGAAAGCGGCTTCCTCATCCTCCACTGGCACGTTCCTGCTCATCTGAGCCGATGGCCCCTGCTGGGCACCATCGTGCTCTAGCACTTGGGGCCCGGGTGAGGGCGGTTCCAGCGCAGAGACCGCGGCTCTCCTGCTCCGGCCGTCGCCACGCCTTTGCAGGCCTCGGCTGCTCCTGACAGGAGCTGCCTCCCCCCCGTTTGCGGTGCTGCCAGGGTGGCATCTCTCCACAGACACTTCCAGTGGCCTGTGGGCTGGGATTTGATCCCCACCTGCTAAGTGTCTTTAGAGCTGTGATGGTCCCGCTCCCTGGCAAGTCTGTGGAGCTCTGAGATAGGGGTGGGAATCTCAGGCCTGTGGCCCCTGACTTGTCTGGATCCAACTCCCGAGGCTCAGGGCCCCTCCCCAGCTCCTCCGCTATCCCCCTGTGGGGCTGGAGCACACAACATTTCCTAGGCTGGCCCCTGCCACGCTCTGGGGTGCGAGGGGAATGTGGGAGTGGCTTTCTCCTCAGTCAGGGCCACGTTGGGTCTGTTGTTCTGTTTCTCTCTCGTGTGTGGCTCCTGGCTGATTTTCTGTGGGTCAGTGGCCCCTGACCCTAAAACCCCTGCTCTAGGAATTGGAGCCCAAGGCAGAATGCCCAGGAGCCAGCTTGGCCTTGTGGGACTGCAAGGCTATGGGACTGCATGTTTCTAATTCTTCCTTTGGGTTTGATGACTTGCTCTCAGCCTCTGAAATGTGAGTGTCCAGGTCAAAATGCAGCCCCTTGACCAGCAAGAGGCCCCTGTTAGTCTGAGCCTTCCAAAGACACCTGCCGTCCTTCCTGGGCAGACACTCAGTAGGTGACCATCCAGTGCATGCCCACATATGACCAAGGTCTGAATCGTGGCACACCATGGGCAGCGGACAGGCAAATGGAAGCAGCAGAGCCGGCCCGAGGCATTCTGGCGCACCGGGCACGGGCGTACGGCACCGCCCCTGAGGGCACGGCGCATGCATGGGCCTGCCCCCCTAGGGTGCACACATCACCCCCGGGCGCACGGCACATGCGCGGGCCTGCCCCTGGGGTGGGGGCCCATCCCCCAGGGTGCATGGGCCTGCCCTGGGGTGCAAGGGGCATGTGTGGGCCTGCCCCCGGGACGCACAGCACATGCACTGCCCAGCCACAGCCGCTGGCGTGCAGCCTGGGGCCCGCCCTCAGGGAGCAAGGTGCAAGCGCAGCCCCGTCCGGCACAGTTGTCGCTGCTGGCGTATGCGCCGGGCCATGTAGGGCCCCATGGCCATGGGGGAAAGGGTGCTGCTGGCCGGTGCCGCGGGGATGCGGGTGGGCCGGCGCTGCGGGAGCCAGGCGTGTGCCGCCCGATGGCAGCTGTAAGGGACGCCGCACGCCCCTTACAGCTGCCATCAGGCGCCCCCATCGGTTGGCGCCCTGGGCAGCTGCCCGGCTCGCCCATGCCTCCGTCCGGCCCTGGGAAGCAGGCAGATGCCAATGCATGGCTCTGGGAGGAAGAGCACGCATCCGCTGCCCATGGTGCCAGTCTTAGGCCCTAGCTTCCACCAGTCCTAAGGGGCTTGTATTCTGCTGAGAAAAGAAATACAGCGCAGCCTCCTGCTCTCATCCTTGTCCTCAAAACCCTCGCACCCTTCTGCACCAGGGGAGGCTGCCCGGCCCTCTGCAGAAGGCTTTGAGTGTGTGGAATGAGGGACCCAACCAAACTGAACATCCCAGAAACATGCCTGTGGTTGGCTACTAAGGGTCTGTCTACACTACCACTCTAGTTCGAACTAGCGGGGTAATGTAGTCATACGGACTTGCAAATGAAGCCCGGGATTTGAATTTCCCGGGCTTCATTTGCATAAAGCCGGGCGCTGCCATTTTTAAATGTCCGCTAGTGCAGACTCCGTGCCCGCGGCTGCACGGGGCACGAACTAGGTAGTTCGAACTAGGCTTCCTGGTCCGAACTACCGTTATTCGAGGAGTACCGTTCACGAGGAGTAAGGAAGCATGGAGTCCACACTAGTGGACATTTAAAAATGGCGGCGCCCGGCTTTATGCAAATGAAGCCCGGGAAATTCAAATCCCGGGCTTCATTTGCAAGTCCGTATGACTACATTACCCACCCTAGTTCGAACTGGGGGGTAGTGTAGACAGACCCTAACTCTCTGGTCCTCATCCCTGTTCTGAGCGCTCTCTCTCCTTTGCTGTGCGTAATATCCCTGCCCAATGGCTGTGTGCATGAGAAGGTAACCAGAACCCTCCAAGCTGAAGGGGACAGGCCAGAGGAGATAGAATGAAGAGCAGAAGGCATATTGGAGCGGGTCCCAAGTAGTAGTGGATGGCACAGGACTGGAGACCCAAGGCAGGGAGCTGGAATATGGGAGAGGTACAGGGCCGGGAACACAGGGCAAAGAGACCTAGGATGGAGGGCAGGGAGCCCAGACTGGGGACACAAGGCCAGGCGCCGGGGGGGGCAGAGGGATTGAGGACGCAGCAGATGGAAGTGAGAGAGCAGCGGCAGAGATGGCGATTGGGTGCTGGCCTGGAGGAGATAGAATAGGAGCCCAGGCCTCTTGTGGCACAGGAGTTGCTTGCCCAGAGGGCAGCTGGCAGCTCTCCCTTTCCCTGGTCACTGGGCCACTTCAGCTGCTCCGCACCTCTGGGCTGAGGCTGCTCTGGTGCAGCTGCTGGGCGTCTGTTCTCCACCCCGCTGTGTTTGGGGAGAGCTCTCTCTCCCCGTCTCTCTTACTCAGGGTGATCCCAAGGCTCTGTGCCGAGAGAGCCCCCAGGCTGCGGTGCGCTTGGGAAAATGGCTCTGGGCGGGAGGTGATGGAGATGGATGCCAGACGGTGTCTCACGGGTGGGGTCCTGTGGCTGAGACGGGCGCAGAGTTTGCTCTCTGGAGTGATGAGGCTGATGCTAGTTGGGACGTGCTGGGAGGGCGCAGCAGGCCCCGTCTGCCTGCCTGGCTCTGGCTGGGAGCATTTTTCTGGTGCAGAGTTAGGGATTAGCGGCTTTCTCATTTCTAGCTGACCCTGCTTGTCTGGGACATGACAAATCTCTGGGAGCCCTGGTGGCTCCCCAGGGCCCTTGGCAGGCAGGCGGAAGGAACCGTGCTGCCATGACACCTAGGAGGGCAGAGCCCAGTGGTGCTGAGGGGCCACCAGGAGGACCCACTCTGCTCGTGGAGAGAGGCAGAAGCTCCTCACTGCCTCCAGGGCGGCCCGGCGTGGCGGCTCTCTGCCTGGGGGTGGCAGGCCCAGCGGGTGCTTTAGAACTATGGTGCCCACAGGAATAATGGAAGTTATTGCTAGAGCAATGCGTTTCCTTCTGAATGTGGCAGTGCTGCCAGCCTCTTCCCACGCTGGGCTGTGGCCCCTTGGGCCTGGCCTTGGGATCTCGCAGGAAGGCTGGGGTGTGGGAGGCGGAGTTGCGGGGATGACTGGCTTGTGTGGTGGGACCCCAGGAAGCTCTCTTGATACATTGCGGAGGCCCTGGCTGCTACTCCGCCCACGGCTCAGCCCTCTAGGGAAGGGGACGTGCGTAGTGCTTCGGCTCAGGGGGCTGGGTCCGTTCCCCGTGGGCTGGGCTCCCAGGTGCTGCTCAGGGCAGGGAGTGCTGACGCTGGGTTTGCGGGTTGTTCTAGATCAATGGGGTAGACATGACAGAAGCCAGGCATGATCAGGCAGTAGCACTGCTTACCGCATCCTCCCCCACCATCGCGCTGCTGGTAGAGAGAGAGGGTGCAGAGCAGCTCAGCGAGGGAGACTCGCCTGTGGCGCAGCGAGGGCGCGCACACTCCCCACCACCACCCTCGCGCACACTCCCCACCACCCCCCTCCAGCCATGGCGAGAGCCCGCCGGAGGAGACGGCTCTGCTGCAAAGGGACCATCTGTCCAAAGGCCTGGAGGACCAGTACCCCATCGAGGTAAGGCTGGCTGTTGGGATTTGGGGTGCTGGGGTTCTAAGCTGCCCCACTGTGTTGTTGGGCTGTTGGTAAGTGGCCAGGTCTCCCCTGTGTTGCGGGAGCCTCCTTCATGTTCCTTCCCAAGCAGGGTCCCTGGTTCTGGGGGTGGAGGCTCTGCGAAGTTATCTAAGCATAGGCTCTCCTTGCCCTCTCCCTGGCTGCACGCTTTTGTTTCCTGCAGGAGATCTGTCTGATCAAAGCTGGGGGGCCCTTGGGGCTCAGCATTGTTGGAGGCAGCGACCACTCGAGCCACCCATTTGGGATTCAGGAGCCAGGTGTCTTTATCTCAAAGGTAGGAACCCACGTTAGCAGCCAGAAAAGTGCCCCCGCAGCTTCACAGCCAGGTAAAAGCAGCAGTGAGAGATACAACGGCGGCGTCATTTGAAAAGGGGAAGTTAAATCCGAGTGAGGAAAAGAGAAAGGAGCATGGACGCTGTCAATGAAGTGTAAAATATACTAAGGAAAGCCAAAAAGGAGTGTGAAGAACAGCTGGCCAAAAATTCACAAAGAAACAGCAAACTGGTTTTTAACAGCAGAAGCAGGAAGCCGGCCAAACAACCAGGGGCCCGGGGACAGTCAAGATGCTAAGAGCCCGCAGAGACGATAGTTGTTGTGGAGACACTACATGAATTCTTTGCTTTAGTCTTCATGGCTGAGGATGCTGGAGATTCCCAGACCTGAACCGTTCTTGTAGGTGACACATCTGAGGAATTGTCTCAGACTGAGGTGTCATTAGAGGAGGTGTTGGAACAAATTGATAAACTTCCCAGGAACAAGCCACCGGGACCCGATGGCATTCGCCCAAGAGTCATGAAAGACTCTCATGGCAATTGCAGAAGTCTCCCCCGGTTCCTACCAGTGTTGCTTGCTGTCCCCCTCGGGGGCTCCTGAGCCTCAGGGGGCTGCTTTGCCTTGTCTCTCCTGCTGGCAGGAGTGTGCCAGGTTGCAGCAGGGCGTTGTCAGCAAGCTCAGTCCCCCTCTCTCGCCCCCTCCCGGAGCAGCAGGGCCTAAGGCTCTGGCCTTCTGAGCTGCATGGTTAGTCCGGCCCCGTGCACAACCCCAGTGGGGACGCAGCCTGACCCCTGCCAAGCCCCGCCACTCAAGTGAGGGGAGGGAGCAAAGCCAAAGCAGGCAGAGGCCCTGTGAGCTGAGCCCAGCAACCAGGTGAAGGCCTCAGCTTTGGCCCGGGGCAGTGAGTCTCACGCTTCAGCCCCAGACCCCAGCCTGCCGACCCCTTGAACAGGGCCATGGTCCACACGAGGGTCTTGACCCACGGCTTGAGAACCAGTGCTCCGGGAGGGTGCAAATGCCTCTGGAAACGGGGCAGTGAGGGCAGGAGATGGAACGGCCTCGTTTTCAGACAGCTCAAATGTGGACGGTTTGGATTTCCTGAGCTGCTTCTCCATGGAGGTGTCTTGGGTCAGTGGGAGGAGTCTGGGAGGTGTCGGGGCGTTTGGCAGCTCAGGGGAAGTGGGAGGAGTCTGGGGGTGTCGGGGTGTTTGCAGCTCAGGGGCCGTGGGAGGAGTCTGGGAGTGTCGGGGGGTTTGCAGCTCAGGAGCCGTGGGAGGAGTCTGGGGGTGTCAGGGTGTTTGCAGCTCAGGGGCCGTGGGAGGAGTCTGGGAGTGTCGGGGGGTTTGCAGCTCAGGAGCCGTGGGGGGAGGCAGGGGGGGT